CAAAAAAGCATAATCCTTACAAAAAGCAACAACAATTTCAAATTCTGTAGAATGAAGAATAAAGGAATTAGTAGCATGATTAAGGCTGAAGTCAGAAAGCACATTTCTGAATGAATTCCTGAAGGGCTGTGCTGCAAATTTCAATCTCAATTTTCAGACAATTGCCCCTGGTTTTCTGTTTTCCAGGGGGACTGGGGACTGTTGATTCAACTAAAACAAACCAACAAGCAGCTATTGTGTTGCCCCTGGAAGACACATACCTTGCAAGCAGCAGCACCTCTGGCACCCATGCACAGCACTCACTGTGCCCTTTGCTCCACCTGCAGCTCCGGTGGAGGGGCTAGGGAAGGGTTACTGCAAAGCTCACCCTGGGGGTGTTCCAGGCCACCCTGAGCTGGACACCCATCCCAGATCTCCCTGCAGCAAGGCAGGGTGACAGGAGCACCGGGGTCCAGCACAGCCATTGTTAGCTCTACAGAAAGCACCAACAGAGCCTCCTCAGAGCCACCACAGGGAGTCACAGCCTTGCAACCTCCTCAGGAACATGTCCTGGCACTGGACTGAGGGGAAACTCTCCCAAATCGGCCTATTGTAGCTCAAAAATTAGACGCTAACAAGAGCGCTCATCCCTCTCAAAGCACTGCTAGAGCCCTCACTAGGCAGAGCAAATAATTGCTTGGCTGAAGGGTTAACAATAGCCAGTATGTCTGAAAGGGCAAATCTACAGACATTTGAGAGAAGCAGGGGGAACAAGGTAGCCAAGAATGCACAGGCCATAAAACAGCCCAGAAAACTTACCCAGAAACTCTCAAATCCCCAGTACTTCCCCCAATTCCTAGTCCTGACAGCACTTAGGAGAGCTGCATGGTAACCGCCTTAGAAAACAGGAAATGATTCTTTGTTTTGGGGACGTGGACATGAATTGCATTAACAAAACACAAGCATTAACCACTATGAAAAATCTAGGGCCCCGAGGAGCTACAGGATACAGCATTTTTCTAAGCATTCCCCTGGGTCCAAAGACATGCATGAGATACATGCCTGACAACCCTGGAACACTGCGCTAAGAGTGTCCTCTGAGAGGGGAAAAGCCATAGCACAGAGCCTGCAGCAGCCCTGGGCACACAGCACACACCCCCTTACAGGCATTGGTCCCATTCTGCTGCTGCTCAGCATCACTGGGGTGCACAGGACTGCAACCTGTCAGTTTCAAGTTCAGGCCAAAACTAACTGAGCTGTGAAAGCACTGATTGCATACCACACACCTTGGCCCAGCACTTCAATTTTTCTTACAGCACCTTCTCATTTTCACTGTGGACACAGAGCGCATGACCCCACCAGGCACCCAGGACAGTGTTTCAGGGTACAGGACTGCTTTTCTACTTTTGGAATTACAGGGAAAGATTTATGTTGAGGATGACAGAACACATGGGAGGACTGCAGCAGCCAGCCAGCAAAATCCTCTCCACTGCCACATGGCTGTACTCTGCCATCAGTCCTTTTGTTAGGGCAGGTAAGAGGAGCCGAGCTGCTCTGGGGTGATGAGAGCTGGGAACGTTGATTCAAGTATCTCAGGGCTACTCAGCTGCACTGCAGCACTGAGCAGTTTGTGTCTGGGCATGTGAACACCTTCCAGAAGTTTATTTCTCCTTTGGCAGTCTGTATAACCTAGAATAGGATTGCCCTAACGGCAGCCTGACCTTTAATATCTTGGGATGGTATCCGTAAAGAGACTCCCTAAAGACCTAACCACTGGGCACCCATGAACTGCCCCACAATGTCAGAGTAATTCATGGCAACTGCTTGTTTACACAGAGAAATGCACCTGTCTCTGTACACCAAGGTGGTATGATCCAAACAGATGTCATGTAGGCTCTCACATTCCTCTGCAAGCTGAGAATTCACTATCTTGACACTGATACATCAGAGGGAAACAACTTTGTCTTAAGTTCACTGGAAGATCAGAAGACCTTGAAAAATTCCTGATTATATTTACTTTAGGTCCATGCGACTTTTCAGGGCACAGATTTCCCCTGCAAAGAAGTGAAAAATTATTAATAAGCTTAAAGTTTCACATAAGAAACAAGAAGGCA